TTATTGTAGATGGCACTAGTATGTCAAAATAGCAGCTGTACTTAAATGAGTACAGTGGGCGCTAATGGGTTAAATAGTATCTTTAGATATGAGATGGTTTTTTCACCACCTTTCTTCAGCATTTCTGTTAGTATTTCATCGCTTCCAGGATCTTCGCTTATTTCGGGCATCACTTCTGAGTTGACATTTGTTATCTACCTTTTCAAGATTTGTTTTAACAACTGATGTTTAAACAACTGTGTATTCTTTTAAAAGTCTATTAGGCTCTTGAGTCGGCTTGAACAGAAGTGTGGGTTATATTGTTGGCAATACGAGTGGCCTGGTAGTATGTTGACATTCTCGGAGGATGTGCATGACGGTAATAGGAATTTCGTTGCAGTGGGAGCGTAACTGTTGGTCTGTAGAGGACATAGGATGACCGTTTGTCAAACGTGTGTATCCTATCCTCGATTTTGGTATTGTTATCTTCTTTTTTCTATGCAGAGATGCTAGGTATAAATAGCTATTAACATTAGGTTATATTTCTCTGAGCTTTGTGTCTTTAGTGATCCAAAGTTTCTGCCACTTGCCTTGGATGTTGCTTTCAAATTTTGATTTTATATCTTCTTGGAGCTATAAATGGCTAAGTTAGATGTAGATGCTTCTTTTGCAGCACTGTCAGACATCTCATTTTCTTGGATGTCGATATGAGAAGGCACCCATATTGTTATTGAAATCTTTCGGAAAAGGCGGAAATGGATCGATTCTTGTATTTTTTGCACTAGGTGATGTTGATTGAAAATATTTTTTAACGAATGAATTGCGAATAAGGAATGGATGCACAGAACTACACTTTGATGATTGTAAAAAGGAAAACATAGCGGGATGTATTCACAATGTTGAAAGCTTGTCGAAAATTTATATTATTATTTCGTTGCTTATTAAATTTACAGGAGGACGTGTTTATAAAAGGGGGTATTTTAGAACATGGCGGGGACTCTGATTTTATGGATGCTAGTTTTTGAGATCATTTTGTGTCTTGGCACAAGGGTTATAGGATCTGTGGGATTGAAAGTACACATCTGGGCTGGCCAAGTTAGAATACTAAAAACAGGGTTAGTCGGATTCTATTAAATTCTGGTAGCATAAGATAGGAGCAGTTGCTACCTTTAAAGGTAAATGGCGAGATCATGAGATTCACAATAGAGACTTTCAGTAGAACTGGATCTAAATGCTTCTAAGCAAATTCGGAGAGCCGTGTTGTAAACAAAGTTAAACTCTACATATACTATAGTACTCTCTATACTATAGAACTTATGTTTTAATTTGGATTAGATTATAGCTCAATATATTTTGAGTAGTATACTTTCATCGGCACTTCATTAATGGTGGGTCAATGTCTTTAACAAATTTATTCTGCTTAAACAGTAGCCTTTTATTTCATCGATATGACGACCCCAGGTGAGTTTGTTATCGACAGTTAGTCCTTAGAACTTGTAATGATCAATTAACTCTAAATTTACCTCGTTTAGTGTTATTTTTCTCGTCGGAAGAGAACCTGAAGCCACTTTTCTCGGTCCATGCAGTATATAAGGGACTCAACAAAATTGTGTAATAAAATGAAATTGCATCTTTGGACTTTCCTTGGCAGTATAAAATAAGCTGATTTGCCCTTAAATTGGCTTAAAGTAAACATTTTAGAAATATTTGGTGTACGGATAACAGTGGTTTTGCTTGTTATTTATCAGTACGAGCTTAATTTAAAGGGACTAATGTGTTTGTTTATAAATTCATATACGTAATACCAATACCGTTATCACATTCATTTCAAATAATTACATTGATCGCAAATATTTGTTTGAGGTAGGTGCGTAAATGTAGTTCCATGTTCCAAAATATTTATTGGAGATATAAAAATCTGGTATATAAATATTTTGACATGGTTTCTCTGATAATACAACTAAAGTACCAGTTTATTAAAAATCGATGCTTTCGACGTATTTTTGCCTGTTTCCTATGTTTTGTAATTTTCCTTAACACAGTCAACTAAATCCTTGTATCGGTTTCTATCTACAGCCATTATATGTGTTTCGCAAAATGAAGGCCGCGTATTGTTGGATTTTTGTCTTATTTTTCTCCTTCCTGGAATGTTTTGAATGCAATTAACATTTCCAAATGATTTTAGTTTTGGAACTGAAAAATCTCTTAAGGCAGATTGTGTAAAATCCTGTTTTAATATTGAGTTTTAAAATAATCGTTTGTGCGATAAACAGTCGATCTTTCTCGGAGCATTCTTCTCCAATGCAACATCTAAATTGCATCGATCATGTGAAGCTCTTGTGACTAGAGAGTCTGTTTCGACATCGTACCGAAGTATTAGGGAGACTAATTCTCTTTGGGGGAAATATCATTATTTCATGTATTTCTTATGAAGTCTAATACTTTTCCCATTGTTTTGTACAGATCTCCTAAGTCTATTATTCCTTGCTTATTAGAATCTTTGCTTGAAAATATTGCACAAAATACTTTTATTATCTTGAAACAGAATTTTAATATTGATTATCTGGATTTATCACACAACCCTGTATTAATATTATATATTTACTTAATAGTTTTAATATGAGAATGCTGATTACCGTACCAACCAGAGATAGCAGCATGACCATACAATTATATTTTACTAATCTTCTTCTAAATATGGCGGTGTGCAGAGATAGCAGCATGACCATACAATTATATTTTACTAATCTTCTTCTAAATATGGCGGTGTGCAGAGATAGCAGCATGACCATACAATTATATTTTACTAATCTTCATCTCAATATGTCGGTGTGCAGAGGAATAACTAATTTTTCATCAGATCATGATCATGTTCTATGTAAATTTCCCCTTAAGAATCCACCTTACATAGCTAGATGGAGTAGTACTTACAGCAAATGTAATTTTGACAGGTTTATCAAGTCATGTAATCAGAAAGATTGGCATAATATTTTGTAATCTCCTGATTTGCTCAATCAATTTTGAGATTTGACACTTCGATTAAACACTTTCATAAAGATTTTTAATTGGGGATTTTATAAAACAATTCTTAAATCGAAAAATTAAAAAAAAAAACTTTCCGGTAAAAACTTACAATCGTTAAACTACATTAAGAAACATACAGTGAAAGTCTAAATTATGGAATATTATCATTATTTCGAGAACCATCGAGTTTTGAGGAAAATCCCGAAACAGGTCGATTTTTGTTATGAAATATGTACCCATCTTATAACATACGTTGAGTAGGGATGACGTCACCGGTGTATGTGTAGTGACGTAATCGTTAATTTTTTTAAATGAAATTGATATAATGCGACACCTCATTTGAAGGAGAATTTAGTTCTATATTTAACATTACATAAAATATTTTTTAAGGGTACAAAAACAATTTTTTTTTAATTTAAATTCAACTAAATTACAACTAATGATTAAATTAATAATGTACTTTAAAGTATCTAAATTATGCATAATAATTATTTCAAATTAAATGGTCGAAATGCCATGTAAGTGTTTTTGGGGAATTATTTATTACTAGCATTAGATGCATTTAATTTTTATTGTCTTGATTATTTAGGTCTTTTAATACTGGAAAAATATTTATTATCTATTAACAACATGCGTTAACATTTTCGTATATTATTCAGAGTTCTGTTTAAATACAGTTTTTATAATCCAAACTTAACTAATCTTTTTGGCGAAGTATTTATTTTCGGACAGCCTGGTTTTCCGACTACAAACATCTCAAATAAGCAAAAGCAATTAAGCAATTAATATTTATTTATCACTTGTAACTCTTATAGTTTTATCCGTCTTCCGGGTTTGGACCGTGTCATTTGTGAGTGACCCAAAAGTGGGTTCATCTCAACTTTTGGGTCACTCACAAATGACACGGTCCAAACCCGGAAGACGGATAAACTATAATTCTGACTCTGGCCGTGGAAGCCTACGATTTCATTTCACTTGTAACTCCTTTGCAACCTCAACCCAAAATGTATTCACCTTGTTCCTTTTGCGGTACTTTTTTGATTGTTGATCCCATAGAACCGGACGAATTCTAACATTGTTTAATAATTATTTTTCCACATACATATCGCTCGCAAGACATACGGCTACTGGCGATGAAAACGAAACCGAAGCGCATGTACTAGTTGCTACTAGCATCGCATCGCACTAAATCATGCGCTATTTGAACACGGCACTTAAGATACAAGTGTTTGATATCATCGCATAGCAAAGATCGCATCGCTATCGCGCCATAGCAGTCTGTGTGAACGTACACTTAGCATCGTGGGATGTTGACAAAGACTCGAGAAAGCGCAGCACATTTACTTCAATGTATATTACCTATGTCCAGCTGAAAGATTTACGTACTGTATAATAGATCTTATAGCCCTCAGTGTAGCTACTTCCTCAAAAGTAGTAACAGTGTCAGTAAAAATCTCCATTATTAATAAAAAAAGTAAGATGATAAAAGAATAAAAAAAAACAAAATAATAATATAACAAAACAGAATTTATGTATCTCAAAAAATATTATTAGGTATATGTAGTTAATTTTTTTCTATAAATATTCTTCTTCTTTTTATATAGACATGACTATAAACAGACATGTCTGTTTTCTTCAAAGGTTGGTGACCGTGTGTTTTATATTTCGAAGACGAAGAAATTATACGAGATGGATTAGAAACAGCAAGCCAACGGGAATATCCTCTGGCAAATCTTGAACTTTGACTCATTGTTTAAATTTATCTTAATAAGAAAAGTGCCAATAAAAGAAGAAGCTTTACGAACAATATTCCTGGAATGGAATGGGCTTAAGGATTTTTGTCTAAATATAAAGACACACTCTCAAGGGTTTCTGTCAGAATATTAAATAGGCGAGAGCTTAGGTGCACAGCAAAATTAACTGTGATTAATTGTAACATCTGTACAATACTTGGAGTCAAAGAGAATCTGCTAGAGCAAGATACAATCGATAAGAAAATGGCCAGTATGATCCAAAATTTAAAGCCTGGTTTTGAGTCTTGCATTACCTTATTTCAAAAAACTGCCAAAGTTCTTATCGGAAGGTATGAGTGAAGATAATCTGTCAACGCATATTTCTTTACAAACTATCCAAGATTGTGAAGAAAGTGAAATATAATTTGTGTTGTTACCTGCCAATAGTACGCACTTATGCTAACGTTTAGTCTTGACATTTTTTAAGTCTTTAAAGGGAAAATGGCCTAAATGGCCCATTTCCATCTTTTTCTGTCATATGCAGTTGCCTCTTCTATCTCTTGCCGCCATTGCTTCATCAATATCGTTGCGCCAACTTTTCCGTGGTCGTCCTCTCTATCTTCTCTTAGGAGGAATCCATTTCAGTACTCTTCTAGGTCATCTGTACTCTGGCATTCTTTTAACATGTCCGAACCAGATTATTGTTTTCTTTCTATGTCATCATTGATATTTCGCTCCATTTTCATTTCGTTTCTTATTTATTCGTTTCTAACTCTCTCCAGTTTCGATCTAGCGCAGCTTCGTCTCAGATAATTCATTTCTGCCGTCATAAGTTTATCCCATAATGTCTTACCATAAATTTTTCTAAGTGTTGTCATATCTGCTGTTTCTAAATCCTTTTTGTCCTTATATGATTGTTCCATTCTACTCTTCTATTTCTTACTCAGCTCTTGATGTTCTTCACCTTGCATCTACGTCTTATATTTGTACTTCTAGCTCTGTCCTGTTGATAGTAAGACACTAAGGTCTTACCATCAACTTTTTTAAGTGTTTTCATCTCTACTTTTTCAAACAATCTTTCCGTATCAGGTCTTGTTTCTGCTGCGTATGTCATTATTAGTCTGATGACTGTTTTGTAAATTCTGCCTTTCGTTCCTTTCCCGAGATTTTTATTTTTCCGTATAGTTTCATTTAGGCAGACTGTGGCTCCGCTTGCTCTATTCACTTGATCTTCCACTTCGGTTTCGAGCTTTCCGTGGCTAGATAATGTGATGCCTAGATATTTAAACTACATCACTAGTTCTATTATCTGACCTTCCAGCTTCAATTTACATCTTAGTAAATGTGCTGTTGTAACTATGCATTTTGTCTTTTTTGGGGAAATTAATATGTTAAATTTTTTGACGGTTATATTAATTTGGTGCAACATATGTTGTAAATCATCTTCACTTTGAGAGAGTAGTATTGCGTCGACTGCATCTTCACTATAAATCTGTAATCAATAATAATTAAAATTTAGTCGACTTTAAAAATAAACAAAAACAAGTCTGGCTAATTGGCACTTCCAAAATGATTTTTCAGAAAAAAAATCAAAATAAATACAAAAAAGCGAATATTTTATTGGTAACCATCACTGTCATTAGTACTTTATTGAACGCTGAACGAAACAATTTTGTTATTGTCAGAATAAATAAGTTTTTAGATTTTGAAGCCAAGAGATTGGTATTTTTTGTTGTCCCCCATTGCCCTAAACTTTTCCATTTAAAATCGCCTGAGGCACTTCTGGAAAAATCAACCCAACTAATTTGTTGTTTTTTGGTTTCAGATATGTATGCCAGATGTAAATATTAACTTTTTTTATTTGGGCCAGTGACATGTGAGAAAAAATCATTTGACGACGCTACGTTTAAATACAGGTAAGAAACTATATTATTTTTCAAAGTAAAACACTTGCACGTCACGATTTATATAAAGTGATGTCACTTGCATTTAAAATTTCCAGAACATCAACCTTATAGTTAAAATTTTCCTAACACAGCTAATAATACGAAACTCATACGGAACTGCTCGATCTTTCATAGGCGTCAACATGGTGTAATAATCAGAAAAATACAATCATCATTATATTAGAAATTTTAGAATTATATTGATTAAATAACCAAAAACATTTATTATTATTAATAATATAAATTTTATGAAATAACTTTTGAAGTCTAATATTCCACAAAATAATAATTTTAATTAATATATTATACAATTGTACGCAACTGATACAGAAATATATCAAATAATATTGACAGTTCAGCGGATGGTAAAAGTGTATTAAGTGTTGCCGCTTTTTTAGAGTAGAAATTTTGTTTATGTTTTGACCTCTTACACAATTTGATCATAATATAATATATATTAATAAATTGTATTTATAAATGCATTTTAAATTTAGATTAATATCTAGCTTTAAAAACTAATTATTGTTGTGTATTGTGATTGTGATATGCCAAAACAAATAAAAGTCTGTAGAAAGCTGATAAGCTTTCATATAAGATACATTATTTTGAACAAGAAATAATGGCGGGACGTTTTTGCTATTAAAGCCCTAAAAGAGGTAAGTTTAAAATTTAGAATATATAATTTTGTATTAAAATGTTTTCTTATGTATTTTAATGTGTTGCAATAGTCTTAAAACTAAGTGTATTTACTGTTAATATGATAGTTTGACAAATAGTTGACATTTTAAAAACTCCTCACTTACTTACTATTTTGATGTTTTGTAATGACGTGTAAGCTTTTTTATCTGAAAAATGCTATAGTAGTAGGTACACTTTATGTTGCACAAAATGTTTTTTGGTAGTGTTAAACTTTCTTTTCTTTTTCTCTAGTATAGTCTATTTCAAAGTTTTCAATTTTCTTTGGGGAAGTATTCATAGAGATGATGTTAGATATATATATATATATATATATATATATATATATATATATATATATATATATAGACTGTGTCGTCACGGAAGCGATAAAGACAGGAGGCTCAGTACTGGTAGCCAAAATTCAAAAGCTCTTGAAAAATCTATGCCTATGGAATCAAAATATCCCAACAAAGTGGAATAATTCAATAACTGTACTCTTACACAAGAAGGGAGATATAGCAGACCTGGAAAGATACAGACCAATCAGTCTCCTTAACCATCTTTATAAATTATACACCCGAATAATAACGAACAGATTAGAGGCAAAGCTGGATTTTTACCAACCTCGGGAACAAGCTGGTTTTCGCCCTAATTACGGCACAAACGATCATCTGCAATGCCTAAAAACCCTGATAGAAAAATCTAACGAATATAACCGTCCCTTGGCATTGATATTTGTAGACTTTAAAAACCCGTTTGATACAGTGGAACTACCGTCCATCTTAAGAGCACTACAAGATTGCAGGGTCGACCACAGTAATATAGTCAGAAATATATATGAAAATGCCACAACAACCATAAGTCTACATTCTGCAACTAATAAAATAAAGATAAAAAGGGGAGTCAGGCAAGGTGATACCATGTCACCAAAGCTGTTCATTGCCGTTCTTGAGTATGCATTTAAAAAACTAACATTGCAAGAAAAAGGAATATCCATCAATGGAGAAAGATTAAACCATCTACGTTTTGCGGACGATATCGTGCTTTGGTCAGATAATCTGGGAGAGATCAAAGACATGCTCCAAGAACTGAATGACATACTACAAGAAACTGGGCTGGAGATAAATTTCGAGAAAACCAAAATGATGACCAATATGGTTCCCAGCGAAGAGATGCAGATTAATAGCAACAAGGTCGAATTAATCGATAAATACACATACTTGGGTCATGAAATTAGAATAACCAGAGACAACCAAACCTGCGAGCTAAATAGACGAATCACGTTGGGATGGGCGGCATATGGAAGGATGAGAGACATTTTTAAAACAGATATCCCAATTCACTTGAAAAGGAAGGTATTTAACCAATGCATCTTACCAGTCTTGACCTATGGAGCAGATACCCTAACTTTTACGAAAGCTACTGCCGAAAAACTGAGGGTAACATAAAGGCGAATGGAGAGATCAATGCTGGGCCTGACCTTGAAAGATCGCGTGAGAAATGAGGAGATACGTCGACGAACTGGCGTAGACAATATTATACTGCGAATCAATAAACAAAAGTCGAGGTGGGTTGGACATGTTGCTAGAATGGAAGACGGAAGATGGACGAAGAGATTATTGGAGTGGAGACCAAGAGCCGACAAGCGAAGTCGAGGCAGACCACCCACCCGATGGACCGACGACCTAAGGAGAATAGAAACAAACTAGATTGCAGCAGCTAAAGATAGAGAGAACTGGAGATGTTTGGAGGAGGCCTATATCCAACAATGGATGTGAAAATGGGGCTGAAAAAGCCGGTCGTCTAGGTAGTTAAATTAAACTGATTTTAAGTCTTAAGTATTTCTTTTTTACCTATTTGAAATGGGCTCACACAGGCAACACATTCATGATTTTAAAACGACTTATTTTCCAGTTCTGTTGATAGTTTTCGAACGGTTATTAACGATATTTATCGCAAAATATTGAATTAAAACACAAAACACCTCTTAATTACGGTTACTTATCATATAAATTATTAACAATTTATTCGTTTATGCCCCTGTTACCAGTTATTTTTATTGTTTTATTATTTTGTAAACACAAACTGTAAATACCGCGTATGTGCTGTTGAAACTATCTACAACACAGTGTAAATTCAGCGTCAAGAGATACACCATGCAAGTTTTACAAAAACCAAATTTAAATTTTACAATATAACTTGTTCTAGTGTTGATTTAGCACAGTGTAATGGAAATAATTATTGTGTAATTCCCCACTGTTTGTAGTAAAAATATGTGCCCTAATGGATAAAAACTCTCTATTTGTAAGTAATTTGTTATCTCTATATTTGTTGTAAGTGTCAAAGTTATTTGTTGAATCAATTCATCAATTAACGTAGGTAGGCTGTCACCTTAATTGATGAATTTTTGGTGAAATATAAAGCTTTGAAGAGTTTCTTTATTTAGACAGTTACAGATATATATGAATACATACAGATAAAAAAACGTTTTTAAATATGTATTTTTTGAGTGGTCAATATGTTCTTTCATACGAAGTAAATTAGCTCAATTTTATTTAAAAACAATGTTATTTAATGTTATATGATAGCAAGTATTAGGTGAGGAAATAATACATCATTATCATTCTGGCAGCTGAAAACCCTACGTGGGTCCTAGCCTTCTCAGGAATTTCTCTCCAGTCGTTCCAATCCGTCGCCTTCTTCCGCCAAGCACGTATTTCCATGTT